CTGCTGACCTCAGTGGAAGCTGCTTTGTGTGTCCTAAGAGAGCAGCAGGGAGGTTTCTAGCCAGGTTGTAGGCACTAGAGTGCAAAGGGACTTGCAGAAATGTGCCCTTGCTTTGGTGCCGTATAGCCCAGCGCAGAGCAAACAGAGGAGCTTGTGCACTGCATGAAAATCATGCGTCAGGATGGACCTAGGATGGGTTGTGGATAGCAAGTGTCAGAAACTGCAGAAGTAGGGTACAAATACTGGCCAGGGTGAACTGTTCCCAGAATTTCTATCACCAAGAGTGAGAGCAGAGTCAGGCTCTTGCTGGTGCCAAAGGCACATTTTGCTTAGCCAGGTCTCTATAGCGTTGCTGTAGTAGCTGAGACAACTAGTCAGACGTTTTCCAATTAGGATTTTTTTTTTTCTTCAGAGAATGGTCATTTATAAAACCCAAGAATTTTTCAGCTATGTAATTGTGTCTGTAAAACTCTCTGGGGAGGTGCCTTGGTTCCGGGATGGAATTGCTGGTGTATGAAGCAGGAGAGAGAGGAAACCAAACGCCAGGTAGTTTAGTGGTTGGGTAAATTACTAAGGGAGCTGGGCTCATGTCTCTCCTTTGCCTGATTCTCTGTCTTTGCACGTTTATTTACACAAAATGGAACATTTCCAGCCTGTGAGTAAGTGAGAGAGTCTGTCTCTTAGTTCACCCACCTGCAGTGTGGGAGGCAGAAGTCTGGTCTCTGCTTTGCATTAAGCATGTGAAGTTAGCATTTTTTTCACAAGAAAAGAGTACTAAAGCCCATTATTTTATTATTTTCAACATCACTGAAAAAAAAAAAGCAAAAATAAAATTAAACTCTCCACTTAGTAAGTAGGAGTGGACTCTGAAATCTCAAGCTTTTCCATGGAAGAGCTTTCTGCTCACCCACAGCAGCTGTGTCACGGCGAGAGCTGGAGCCCAGGCCTGTGCCTGCATGGCTGGGGCTGCATGTTTCCTCTTCCTTACTTTTCATTAGCTCTTACTGGAAAGTCTCCTTTCCCGACAGGAAAGAAGAACAAGCTGCGCGTGTACTATCTCTCCTGGTTGAGAAACAGGATTTTACACAACGACCCCGAAGTAGAGAAGAAGCAGGGCTGGATCACAGTCGGAGACTTGGAGGGCTGCATCCACTACAAAGTTGGTGAGTGGCTGGGGTGGTCGCTCGTGGAGTCTGCGCTGCTGTTTTCGTTGTCTGCTGTGTGTGGAAGAAAGTTTAATCTGAAGGAAGAATTTTTGAAGAGAATATCTCTGTTAAAATAGCTCATTGTTAAAAATCTTCCAATTTATCTGATGAATCATTTACTATATTAACTACAGGCAAAAGGTACTGGATGTCTTTTGGGATTTTTGGACTGTAATCCAATTTGATTTGATCAAAAAGGAAAATAAGGATTTCTCTATTTGTAGATGGTTTGTTCAGTGGAAACACTATTGCACAGATGGTATTTTGAACATAGACAGGGAGACTGAACAAGGATTATATGTAGACCACAGCCATGAATAAACTTGGTATTCATCTATAGGTGCACATCTTACCAGCCAACAGAGAGATAGCCTTCGAAGCTCTTCTTGGAGATGAATTGTTTGGTCTTATTTGAATGAAAGTGAATGTTTTAAAAATCAGTTTTATTTTGATTTCAGTGAAATATGAAAGAATCAAGTTCTTGGTGATTGCCTTAAAGAATGCTGTAGAGATATATGCTTGGGCTCCTAAACCGTATCACAAGTTTATGGCATTTAAGGTATGTTTATCTTATTACCAAAATACACTCTGTAATTGTAAATACTTGGGATTTCTTTGCTCTGCAGAGCAGAAAAGTGTCTTGCTTATGCAGTGGTGCTCTCTGGGAATGACAGCGAGCTGGGCAGTGAGGAGCAGCACCCGCAGCCCTGCCCAGCTGCCAGGGGCTTTCACACCTTGGGGGTGCAAACAAAACTGCTCTGCAGAAACGTAACAGTCACTGTGCCTCCCCTGGCAGGAGAGTGCTCTGAAATCCTTGCCTGAGCTGCTGCTGATACGTGCTGCATGTGGCTCACGACTAACTGTTGGTAATGTCTCTGCTGGGAGGCGCTGGGAAGTTTGCAGAAAGCTGACCCAATGTCCATGGGTAAAATGGGGGCAGTGGTTGTTGTTTGTTTTTTTTTTCCTTTTTTTTTTTTTTAACTCTTAACTAATGTTTTATGTATGATTTGAAATGTGTTTGGTGTTATTTTCCATATTTGCTTTGTAATGCCCTCTCAACCTTCTGCAGCATGAGCTGTTTTCAGGATAGGAAGCCCAAAAGAATGACCCACACTTTCTGTGCCTTTTCTCCCTTTCATCTCCCTCAAGGTCCTTCAGTGAGACCTTTCTTCTGTAAAACCTGGCAAAGAGTATTTTGTACTTAGTACTTTAGAGCACTTTCAATCCTGAGCTCGGTACGGAGGCAAGTCACAAGGGGCAGTGTCTTCCAGAGACTTTCATGCTGAGTAATCTTATTTTGCATCCTTGCAACATTAACGGGTTTATTCAGTATTAGGTCACATTTGCTTTTCCTGAACAAAGGCCAGAATAAATGGACTCGGTGACTGGAATTGCTCGGCAGCATTAAAAGGGGGTAGGATCCAGCCTGCACTGCCTGTGGGCAGGCAGGGAGGATGCTGCTTCCTACTCCTGGAGCTGCTTTGCCAGCCTGTGGGCTGAGCATCCTTTCCATGCCCTCTAGGCAGGGATCTCTGGGGACAGTAGCAAGATTTACACTGCCAGGATTCAGCCTGGTCACTGTGCAGAGAGCAAACAGCCGCTTTCTCCTCCTGGGGGTGTTTTACCCTCCTGATGAGAAACTGAAGTTATGCAGAGATCTTCCCGGCGTGGCTGCACCAGTCTGTGCTCTCGTCAGCCCGGGCAGCGCAGGCAGAGGGGCTCCCACGTGCCGCCCAAACCATCCACTCTTGTCAAATCACCCACCTGTAGAGACCAAATTCAAGGGCTGGCCTGGGCTTTCTGGGCAGAAGATCTGTGTGTGTCAAGGGTGATCACCTTGTGGCAGCCTTGGGAGGGAGAGCCCCTGATTTTTATTTTGGTGCAGCCACCTCGCAATATTTCTACCCACAGAGGTCTCATTTTCAAACTTTCCTTCGAGTCATATTTTACAGGGACTTTGTGGCAAATGCAACATTTATGTACCGTGTCAGAAGCCAGGTCGCCACACTTCTGCAGGGAGGGAGGAAATGCATCCGTGCTCAGTAGCTTCTGCTAAGATGTATAGCTATAAAAAAGTTACATTAGCAAATCTGCTTAGATGGCTGGAGTGACTGAGTAATACCCTCCAAGGCATCTGACCCAGGAACAGAGAGACTGGAATATAAATAACTTATTTAATAGGAAACATCCAGACAAATATGACTTCAAATCTATCAGGCTGCTGCTATGGGAAGTTGTTTGTTTTCCATGATACTCACTGAAGGGATTCTAAAAGTCTTTTGCAGATCTCCAGCACAAACCATTGCTTGTGGATCTCACTGTAGAAGAGGGACAGAGACTCAAGGTTATCTTTGGATCACACACTGGTTTCCATGTGATTGATGTAGATTCTGGGAACTCCTACGATATCTATATACCATCCCATGTGAGTACTTGGAGGAGTGCTGCTGCATGAGTAACACAGATCACCAGCAAGACTTGGACAGGCTTTTAGTGTGTCAAAAATGGTGCCCTGCCAGGTGTCATCTTGCCGTGGGTGTGACATGCTCCAGTGCTGCCATAATTGATAAGTGATTAAAGAGGACTTGCAGATATTGTGTACTTAATAGTCATCATTTTCAAAACCCACCTGGATGCAACCCTGTGCCACATGCTCTAGGTGTCCCTGCTTGAGCAGGGGGGTTGGACTAGATGATCTCTAGAGGTCCCTTCCAACCTCAACCATTCTGTGATTTACACAGGCTATTTCTGTTCCAGTACCCAAGCAGTCAGGATAAAGACTGGCCAGATCCCATAGAAGGGAAACTGTCCATACACTGCATGGAGCCATAATGGGGCTCTTTATAAGGCAAGATGCCATGAAACCAGGTTCTCATTTACTGGGCAAAATAGATCCACGAAGCAGTGACTGCCCAGTGTGCTCTCCCTTGCCGTGGCACAGCAGATGTGCTCACAAGCAGGGTCTCACTTCCAGCCTGAGGCAGCATGGTTTTCCAAGGAAGGGCTGCAGGACTAGAGCAACCCGAACCAAACCTGCAGCTTGAAATTCCTGAAATCCCACTGCCAGGTGGCACTTGCCAGAGAATCGCTCTCAGGTCCATGGGCTATCACCGTGCTACAAAAGAGAGAGTAGATGAGGATTTTCTTGTGTGCTCACCCAAGCTCTGTCCATGCTGTTTGATGAAGCAGTGTGAGAAAGCAGCCTGCAAGAATTGTGTTTTTAATCAAATTCAGGAATTGCAGAGATGACATCTCGGCAACAGAACATCCTCTATGAGAAGTAGCAGGGAAGCTAGGGTGGTTTGGACTGGTTACGTTGTCTTTGGGAAGTCAGACATGGGTTGAAAGTTACTGTAGCAACCCTAGGAGCTAGCAAGCGATTGCTCAAGAAAATCCAAGTATTTCCTCCCTGAATCTGCATGTCGAATCCCATATTTGTTTCCCTTTATTTGAATAAAAGATGAATTCATCAGTCAAAATTGGCAGCTGATTTTTGTTACTACCAAACATCAGACATCATTTGGAGAGCTGTATATGGTGTTCTCTCTTCGTAATTGCTGAACCTGTTTATCCTTGATGTATATGACAGCTTTGATGGCAGGGTAAACATGACAGTTTATTCTCTGTTGGGTTTATCTCTAAAAGTCTCTGACAGTTTATTGAATGAAGTGAGGGTTTTGTTCCTGATTCGGATTGGGGTTTTGTTTCTCTAAGGCTCTGCTCCCTTCCCCCTACCCCTTTCTCCATTCAGTTTAATTCTGACTTTTAGGGTTTATTTTGACTGCAGATTCAGGGCAATATTACTCCTCACGCCATTGTCATCCTGCCTAAAACAGACGGGATGGAGATGCTTGTATGCTATGAGGATGAAGGGGTATATGTGAACACCTACGGACGGATAACTAAAGATGTGGTGCTCCAGTGGGGAGAAATGCCTACTTCTGTGGGTAGGTTAAGCCTTCCTCTTCACCTTCCTAAAATGCTCTTGGCAAATAAGGAGTCAAAGATGAAATAAGTTGGTTCGGGTCCTTGTTGATCAAGGTAGACCTCTCACAGCCTCTCTACATGATAGATGCAATTGCAAAATACCTACAGCTTGGTCCTAATCAGCAAGAGCAAATGACTTCAAGATTTTAGGTCTTATTTATCTGAAATACAAGCTGTGCAGTGGTGAGATCCTGTGCTGGGTGGAAAAAATACTGGGTGTGGAGCTGGAAGAACCTAGGTTGCTCTTCTGGCTTTGCTTTTGCCCCACTCCATGACCTCTGCAGACAGCTCGCCAACCTGCTCTGCTTCTCATCTGCAGAGAGAGGAAGAAGTGATACTTCTGTTTAAAGTACTCAGCAACTGGTGGGTGAAGAGCACTATATAAAGGCTAAGGGCTGTTGCTGATGGTCTGTGTTTGACTTCTGCACCTCTGGCAATCAGAGCTCTGTGGTTCCTCTAAATAGGCTTTGAATAACAGCTGATGTGAGAGTTTTCTGTCTATAGTATAATATTTAGCTCGACATATTTTAACACTTACCAAATGCTTTCTTTTGACAGCCTACATTCATTCCAATCAGATAATGGGCTGGGGAGAGAAAGCTATTGAAATCCGGTCAGTGGAGACAGGACACTTGGATGGAGTATTTATGCACAAGCGAGCTCAAAGGTTAAAGTTTCTCTGTGAAAGAAATGATAAGGTAAGTCCACGTCAAAGCTTGTATCTATGCTTTAAGCTACAACCAGCTACTTTTTGACTTTAGTTCTAGTTTATCTTGAGGTTAATAAGTAATTAATTTAAAGTTCCACTTAAAAAATACTACCCCTAAACCCACTCCAATTCATTGCCTCCAGAAGATGCAGATTTCAGCCGATGGTGAGATGATGTGCAGTATCTGAGGCTGAAATCTACACTGACATGACTTGAATCTCTCTCTAGTGTTGTCTCTAAACATTAAGTGTAGGG